CAGATCTACGACAAGGTTCGGTGCTTGCTTAGGAGTTAGGATTAGGGGGACGCCTGGGGATATAGACCCTCTCAATAAGGTCCCGTTCAGAAGGGGTACCCTTGAAGGGGTACCCCTAGTAATACTACCTAGAGTGCTTGCAAGCGGGCTTATACGGTCAGCGTTTAGGAGTTTTGGCTAGGAATTCGGGGGCCTTCAAGGGTTCCGACAAGGGAGTTTAGGGTCTGCCGGGGCTGCGTAAGGAAACAGAACGAGATGAATGAAATGGAACACTAGCGCTGATGACACTGATGGGCACCGTCTGTAGAAGTCTCATCGAAATGAGCACCTCGGACGAACTGTGCGCCATAAATATCGAGCAGCCAGTTTGAGTATGCTCTTTTCTTCTATGGAGTTACGCATGGTTCCACTTCTTCGTATGGGACTTCCTATGGGTCTTGTGGTGGGTCGAGGTTGAGGCATACGTTGTTATGGTTTGGGTCTGCAGGTGGCCTAGGGGGTGGGCATGGTTAGGGCATGGAAATGGCAGTTGCTAACTGGTTCAGATGTTGCCGGCACGACTGGTCCTGGTGTGACTGCGGGTTTCCATGTCAAGCGTAGCCCCATCAGGCACCTTCCACAGCAATCCCGAACTCCTCAACATGCGACCCCGGCACCGTGACGACCTTGTGGGGGCTGTCAACGAACATCTTAAGATGAGAGCAAGAAACTAAAAAGAGAGATGTCTTGTACTTGTCACTACAGTATGCTTCTTACTTCGTCCTGCGGTTTACTGCGCCGTCTACTATGATTGAACCAATTGTATAGAAAGCCACGAAAACGGGCCGATCCTGTGAATACCACCTCAGAAGCACGAGGCAGCAGCGACGAAGAGACGGCTGATGATGACGACGATGATGATGATTGTTATTGTAAGAGGGGCGACTGTTGTCATCGTCGTTCGGACAAGCTGTCTCCTAGCTTTGTTCTCTCGATGTCAGTACTCTTATCACCCTAGAGCCCGCGAAAGCTCCGAATGAGCCCCCACACTCCTTGCTAGAAGAGCCTGATAGAAACAAGAACCCCTCAAGAAGGATATCCTGAAGCTTTCGGGAACGATAGAAACAAGAACCTCCAAAGAAGGTCCGCCTAGTTACCCTACTCTAGGGGCCTTAGTCATTAGAACAGGGTTTGGGGGTATACTATACCTATAACAAGGAGTCCCTCGAAACCCTATTCTAATTATCAAGACCCCTAAATTACCCTTATAAGCCCTCGTTTTCTGAGACTTTCGGGAGCGATCGAAGGTGGCACAGGAGGAGGGCCCCCGCAGCCGGGGAAACGTCTCCGCCTTCTTGAGCGCCTGGTGGCCTCACCGCCAGCCGAGTCTCCTAAGAGACGCTGGGGCCCAGATGGGAGTCTTTTAAGGGGGGTTTGGGGGATTTCGTAGGAGGAGTTTGGGGTGATTTTGGGGGGGATTTATGGCTTTGGGCTTCGAGTCTTTTAGGGGTTTGGAGGATTTCGTAGGAGGAGTTTGGGGTGATTTTGGGGGGGATTTATGGTTTGAGGCTCTGGGCTTCGGGGTTCATTTCGTCCTTTAGGAAGGAGACACAGCAGTAGATCGCAGCACAGCCCTCAGCCCGAAGCTTTGAATTTGTAAAAAAGTTAAAAATCATAGTAGTAATTATGCAAATAAACATACAAATGATTATAGTAATAGCAATAATAGTAGTAATAGCAATATTAGAACTAATAGTTATGATGATTTAAAAAAGGGCCCCCGAACCCAGGACTTCTCCTGCAACTGTGGCTTCCTTCATCGCTTGGACGTCCCGAGCTGCTCGGGCTGGGCGGTCACACCCAAAAAGGATCAAGGGGACACCTGCCCAGAGGCCCCATAGTAGCTCCTTTTTGGGATGACCTTATAGGATTCTACATATGAACCCCAAAAAAGGAACTACTATGGGGCCTAGGGGTAGAACTGTTCGCCCTAGCTCTTGCGCGCTGTTTGAATCTTCCAGTTCTTGTAACGGTTGCGAAGATGTCTCTCATCTTCCTGAGCCCTGGCATATGTTAGCCGAAAAAAAAACTCACCACCGGGTCTGGGAACATTCTTCATACCCTAAACCAGACTTGTGTCAGACAGCCCCCCATGAAGTTCAGAAGGCATTGACGGAGCTGACGATGGCCCCGTGATTACCGGAAGGTAGCAGCAACTCCATACCAGCATAGGCTCAGCAAGCTCTAAGTAGAGTCAGACGATTGCGGAAGCCCGAAGATGCACAGAAGTCAGCACCCGAAGTGCAACAGAAACCTGGCAGTCTCACACTCCCACCTCATCAACACAGGTCCAACAAGACATCTCAAAAAGGCCGCTACGTCACATGTCTTGATAGTTGCGGTTCAGGGTCTAGGAGGGGTTGGCTAGACCGGGCTGATGGACAACGGGGACGTAAGCCCTTCCCCCAAAGACCCCAAGCCCCGAAACGCATATAGTGAGGATTCCTGCCTGCCTTGTGCGAGCTGCGAGAGTCGAAACCCTCTTCCCCCCTAAAGCCTGAATCCTAAACCAGAAGCCTTCAGTCCTGGCTGTACTAGCCATTCGGGACCTTGGGGCTTCGGAAAAAGGAGTTCAACAAAAAAAACAGAATCCTAAAACCCCAGGCCAAGGAGCCCTTATCCCCTAAACACCCCAACCCCCCCCCCCCGCCCCCCCTTTCTCTGTGCCACCTTATCCCCTAAACTGCCACACCCTCAACCCTGCCCCGCAAGCCCGTTCTCCGAGGCTCCGGCCTCATCCTTGCAGCGAGCCGCTACCAGACGTAACCTGGCTCGAAAATCCCAAAAACCCTACCCATAGGCCCCATAGTAGTTCCTTTTTGAGGCTCATATTTACAATTCTATAAGGTAATCCCAAAAAGGAACTACTATGGGGCCTACGGGTAAACCACATATTGCAAATTTATAGACTTTGAGGACTACCCAATTCGGGCGTGAAGAAGCCCGGTTTCAATAAACAGATTCAAAGCTTCGGGCTCAGGGCTGCGCTGCGATCTACTGCTGGGTCTCCTTCCTTAAAGACGAAATGAACCCCAAAAGGCTTTCAGTGTCATATATAGATGCCATATAGGAATTCATAGTATAATGGTATAGGGCCCCTACTTTTCAGGGTCATTTCGTAGTCAAGGTTCACGAATCGGCACAACTTTGGCCTTCCAGCTCTCCTTTGTGAGGCCTTTCTCGTAGCGGTTTAGAGAGGAGGGGTCCAGGGTTCGGCTCTGTGTGGTTTTGGGGTTTTGGGCTTTCGGCTGGAGGGTTTAGGTCAACCAGGAGCTAAGGGGTTTAGGGCTGAGGGTCCACGCCGTGAGCCCGATAGACCCCTATGATTCACAGGCTTCTGTTGCTACCCAGCGGCCCCACAGTAGTTCCTTTTTGGGATTACCTTATAGGATTCTAAATATGAGCCCCCAAAAAGGAACCACTATGGGGCCTATGGGTAGTGCTGGGTTCGGTTCGAAGCCCAGCCTTAGACCGAAACATCTTGAATTCCGCGCTTGCCCTACCCTGGAACTCCGTAACTGCAAAGCCCAAGCTCGAATCTCCAATCCCGACAGTCAACTCTGCAGCCCTAAACCCTCAAAAACCGCAAAAACGCTAAACCCTAAACCCTAAACCCTAAACCCCTAAACCCTAAACCCTAAACAACACTCCGAAACTCCTAAGCCGCGAAGCCAAATCAAAGCCTTGCCGACACCCTCTCTCTACGACTAAAACCGAGGTACTTCGAGCTAAGGTTGCAGCTGGCGACAGGGGCCCTGCGCAGGGACGGGAAGGGTTTTAAGCAGTCAGGTCGCAGGGCATCGAGACTTACAGGAGTTTTAGGGTTTTTTTAAACTTCGGGGTTGTCAAGGCTTGGAGGATTCGTGGCTTTGGGCTTGGATCGTGACCTGCGGGGCTGGGGCCTTTGCATGGATTACGCAGTTGCTTTTGCTTGGGGCTTGTATGGGTCTTAAGAGCCGGAGTTTTGGAACAAAGCAGTTGGTATGTCCTTGAGGCATGGGTGGGGCTTCAGGTTTCGAAGCTTTCGACACCACCTTCAAACAGCGTCAGCACCGCCCCCAAAAAACATAGCTAGGCTCGAACTGAGGGTTGTTAGCCTGCACCATATCACAATGAGTGCTTCTGCTAAGCATGTTTGCCTAAGGCCTGAGCGGATCGAGTCAGGTTCTTCATGCAATACATGCATGCTTGAGTTCCTACATCTATATAGATATAGACATAGATCTAGGCTAGAGGTATACGTCTAGTTAGGATGGCGCTGAAGCATGCAACACCCAAAAATCAGACCCTGCTTCGAAAACCTGCGATCTGGCACCCTTGATTGTTCTGTTCTGGCTATGGAATCCGGCACTCTTCGACCCCAGGCCATACGGGTGGTTATCAAAATTATGGTCCCTTTTGGGGTACCCTAAATAAATTGATGCCGTATTATAATAAGGACCCAAAAAGGGACCATAATTTTGACAACCACTTTTGTAGCAAGAAACCTTGCACCTGGAGCACTCAAGAGTTGACAGCTGAAGAACAAGAGGAGTATGCCGTCCTCTGCCACGGTTTCATTCCTGGCCGCACGGAGATCAATGCTCCAGTGGTTTGGTCGTCCTCGAGCGTGGCTGGGAACCTGCTTTTTATGAGATTCCGAGCTTCGTGGGTTAGGTTAGGGTTTAGGCTTTAGGGGACCCTCGAATTTCAGTTCGCGGCGAGGGGGCTGACTGGCTTCGGGGATTAAGGTTCGAGGCGTAAGCGGCGTAAGCAGTCTTGCTCCGGGTGCACATTGGGTTCACGCTTTGCAGAAAGTGTTGCGAAATTTATTAGTGTGCATAGGCTTTCGGCAGAGCCTAGGTTTTAAAGTTCGAAACTACGAGGCCCTACGCCCCAGCGTTTATACACGGACAGAGATTTAAGAGTCAGGTCTCTCGGGACGAGCTCACGAAGGTAACACCAAGGGGTTGGCCGGCAAAAACCCAGCTGCTTCCATGTGCGTGGCGCGGACCGCATTGGAGGGTCCTAATTCGAGTCGAGAGTTGTGAAGACCATAGCAATTTGACAAGGATCTGAGCCGGTTTTTGCATCAGGGTCTATAGTATAATATACTGGTAGTGCTTGATATTTCAGAGGGGGCAACCTTTTCAGGGTCGCAGGCAAGATGGGCACAAGTGACATAAGGTTCACTGCAAGAACATCGGCGGATCTCCCCAAGTTCAATTGTCGTTGTTGCATGTGCGTGCACAAGCGACGGCTGGTTTCAACAAAGTCGAGTGTTTGAGACAGTTTTTGTCCAGAAGTGATGTGGACCTGGCGAAGCCAGCACGACGGCACTTTCCAACCCAAAATCCAGTTTTTCGGTGCAGTGCAGTTCATGTCGGGTCGCTCTGCCTGGGAAGATGAGGAGCGCAGAGGCTGAGGGCTCTGCCATGACGTTGCTGGACGTCCGGATTCAGACGGAGTCTTAGCCGGCCTTCAGTCTGTCTGGAGGCTTTGTTAGCGTGAGTCTATAAGGGCTTTAGGAGGGACCCTTAATAGGGACCTTTGTAGGTTATTGGGGTTAAGGTAATGGGATTAAGGGTCCCTATTCGGGGTCCCTCCTAAAGTCCTGAGAGTGATGAAGGATTAGAGTTCAGACTTGGATCACATCTTTGCCTTGCGTTCACCTAGCCTCACTTCGACAATATTAAGGCTCACAAACACCTTGTGAGCACAGAGTTAAAGTGTTCTGGCTGGGGCAATGGGAAATGGGAAAAGTGAGCCTAGGACCTGTGATCATGGCGCTGTGATGCCAAGCCCCTGAGTTCCCAACCCGTTCTACCAGGTTTACCGTTAGAGATCTCTGATCCGCCAAGCCTGCAGGCAACATGCACAAGACCATTAGGCCTGTCCAAATCGAACGGCCGGGGCAGCATGATGTAAGGATTTGATGGCGAGTGTCGTTCACATACAGGGATGCTAAGGACAAGAGAGCCACCCATGAAGTTTCAAGACATCAGCGTGTGAATGAGCAGCAATATTCGGGAAGCGGTGCAATGTTGGATTCACCCGAGGGCCGCCGGCATCAGATCCGAACGCACCTGGCGCATATCGGCGCAGCCTCCGTGGCAGATGGGATGCTCTCGGCAAAAACTGGTGTTTTGATGCAGGGTGTTCTTGTTTCAGTCAGGACGCATAAAACATAGAAGCATCAATACTGCTGCGGATTTTTACATACGCCTGCCACATCCGCTTCATTTGTCGCTGCTAGTTCGGCTGCGCCCCTGCTTCAACTTTAAATCTGTCGTGGGAAGTACCATCGGCACCCACACGCCAACTAGAATTGTACCCCATATCACAAACCGACACGTAAGGTAGAACAACAACCAGGGAGGCTTTGAGGCATGCAGTTTCTCTCACGCAAACCCGCAAAACGACGCCATGTCAACGGCTGAGGAAGTACTCGGCCGACAGCACCTACCAGAACGACCTACGATGGTGTCCCCGCAACTTCTTGCATCGCTACCGGCTGTGTTTCAACCTGCCCTGCCAGGCGGGAGAGTATTCCGATCCGAGCTGGGGGTTTAGATATCGGTTGTAAATTACGTTGTAAACGCTTAAACGCCACATGAAATTCGTGACTGTTAAACGTTGTGGCCCTAACTCTCTGTAGGTCGAACATAATTAATAATGGCGAAATTACTACTTTGGCATTAGAGACATGTCCGTATCACTCATGAAGCAATACTCAGCTCTCCAGAACCCTAAAGTGCTGAAAGCCTAAACCCGGCGGCAATCCGTCCATCCTTGGGCCCCCATCCCACTCCGCGCCCAAGATCAAGAATGCTTCTCCGCTGTCGCTCAGCGAGCCTTTGCCGTTGGACCTCCGGCAAGCTCTGGCCGAACTCTGGACGATCGTGGAGGGTTTTGAGTCTTATGGTTTCGAGGTTTAGGGCAAGGGCTTTGGTGTTTCGGCTCTGGGAGCTGCTAATAGTTTGCGGCGAGGAAGTCAGGGCGTAGAGTCGGCGTAGAGATTTAGGGCGAGGTGGGGCTTGGGTTGATTACGGGATTTAGGATTTTGATGTTGAGAATAGGCTGTTGGATTATGGGCCTTCCGGCTGGTGTCAGGTTTCCGATACAGCTATGTTCTTCGTTCTTATGGCCGATTTCCGATGTGTCTTTATCAGTTCTTCACCGTCGGTACAGAGGCCTTCGCGAGGTGTTGCGGTGTTCAAGAGAAGAGTTGTAGACATTTCATCTGGTGTTGTCGTAAGTCTTTGATTCCTTGTTCAAGAAGGATCAACTCTGTGGAACAACCCACCCGTGAGATACAATTTAAACCCAAGGAAACCTAAGCCGTTTGGATCTTATCGTCGGAACTGTCACTGACCGGTCGTGTTCCCTTCTAGGAAGCCTGCAGGAAAACGGTCCTGGGACTTATGATATGACCTTAGCGCTTAGAGCTTGGGTATTAGGATGCCGGCGGTTTAGGAGTCAAGAAGTCTAGAGGACATAGGAGATTAGGATATGTTTACCCAGAGGCCCCATAGTAGTTCAATTTTGTGGTTCATATCTAGAATCCTATAAGGTAATCCCGAGAAGGAACTACTATGGGGCCTCTGGGTAAGCATGGCCTATCGGCATCTGGACTTCAAGAATCTTCCGGGATGTACATAGAACCTCATGATTTAGGTTTAGGGTTTAGGGTTTAGGGTTTAGGGGATCCCAAGGGGCAACCAGAAGTTCCTGAAGACCTGCAGCCCGAGCCCTCTTGAGGAAGTGCGGGTCTTGAAGCTCTTCGGCCAAGCACGTGACTGGATCCAGCTGCTGAATGTCTCCCACGTGTGGTAGCCACAATCTCCATTATCAGTACATCAATAATAAGCATGAATGAGTGCATGTGGTTGTTTCCGACAGCCAGGTGACCCCCGCGAAGGCAACCTAACATGGCCCCTACGTAATTCCCCACTCCCTGACGTAGTGGTGAAGACAGGGGCCCAAGTGATTGCCAATACTGTTCCTTGGTGTAATGTAGTAGAGTACGAGCCGCACAGACCGAAACCGTAAAGTCTGACAACAGGGCCCGGGCCTTGCGAAGCCAGCTTTGCTTTCCGAATTTCGATGCTGACCCCAAAGGGTCTTCGAAGACGTGGAAAAGAATGGCAGGTCAGTTTGCGGGTTTCACGTCGAATCCTAGATCCTACACCGCCGATTACGGCAAGAACCTCGCCTGGCATGCCCGAGTGCGATACCGTCGTATGCGCTGCACACCCTGAGTCCAAGACCCTGAACCGTAAATCCCAACTCTTCTGCTGACTTCTGCTGCCTTAAAACCAAATCCTAACCCTGCACTTATAGGGTTCGGAGTTTTGTTCAGTTCACGTGACGTGGCTTCCGCATGCAGGCCGGAGGCCATTTGAAGCTTTGCGCTCTTGCGGCTGAGGGTTTGATCGGTTGCTGCTTACCTCTTCGCTTGGGCTCCTAGTCCAAGGTTCAGGGTTCACAGTTGCAAAAGGTTCCGGACTCGTGGGTTTTGGGATTGGTGCCAGCTGAGAAGTCTCAGTATTGTAGAGCTTGCTTTCCGTCTGGAAAGGTAGGTTCCTTCCAGGTTGATTACCATGTCTGCCCGTCGACCGTTAAACATCATCATATCCTAAACTCTTGGGCCATGGCAACCGACATGAACGAGCCCAAATGTTCTGACCTCCTGTAATAGCAAAGTGAAATCTGAGCCCTAGACCCAGACCTTTTTTTTCGTAGCAGTCTGGATTTCGGCATCTCAACACTTGAGCAGAGCACCCCCAAAACCCCAAACTCCAAACTTCGCCGACGAAGACGTGGCCCAAAGTAACATTGGGAACTGGTGGCGCCCATGGCCGATGAGGAGGAGACCAAGAAGCCCCGTGGCGAGGAATTTGGATTTCAGGTAGGACAGGCTTCCGCTGCAGACTTCACACCTCGACCCCCGTACTTGGAAAGTTTGCAGCCCAAAACCCTAAATTAGTTCTAGGGCCTTATCGAATCCCTTAGACCACACCCGCCCGCACTCTAGAAGGCGGTGAAGTAGCAAACTGCTGCTCAGCTTGCTTGCAGTCATCCTTGCACTAGACTTCGTTGCCCGAACAGATTTTGTCATTCTTGGGTGCTGCCCTTGCTGCTGTTCTGAGTCTAGAGTTTGATTCTGCAGGGTTGCGGGACGTGACCGAATGTGGGCCAGTTGACCCCGGTTCGTGTTAAGGAGTTCAAGTCAGGCTTCCACAAGCAGCAAACGGGTAATCATAAACGAAATATCAATATCCCCGATAAACTAGATTCACAATGTTGCTTAACCTTCGCAAACTTACATCCTGGCCCTGAGGTATGATGTCCCCTTGATCCGCTTGAAAGACTGCTCCAGTCAGCTAGACACAGATGACTTGGACGAGGCTCCGCCACGCGAGCATTTTCAGGTTTAGGGCAGTTTGGGGGTTGGCAGTCTCTCTTGCTTATCGGCTGTAAACTCAACTTTTCAACTTTTCAACTTTTGGGGTTCTTATAAGGTAGTCGATTNNTCTCCTTGGGTTTTGGGCCAGTCAGCAACTTGGGATAGGTTTCGCTAACATCAACAGGGTGTCTCTGCTGCGAGGCTCGACGGCTTTGGATTTAGGGTGTGGGGAGGGTTGTGGATTTAGGGCTTCTGCATTGAGGTCCATCCTTGGGGCGCAGGGCTCAGGGTTGATTTTTTCGGTTGCGCTGTAAGGTTTAGGGGTTAGGAAACATGTGGTGGTTACTTTCCACATGCAGGACGAGCGGAAAGCCTTGGCCGAAGTCTCGAAGATCCTTGGAGCACAATCTTTGGGGTTTCGGATTTTTGGAACTCTAAGCGGGGTTAGGGATGTTGCCGCTTTCAGTTTCATGCCCTTCTTAGTTCCGGACATGAAGCATGCCCTCCGATCCTGCACGCCGAACCTCCCACCCCCTTCTGGTGGCTTCCGAGACTAAGGGACCCCTAATGTGAGCCGGGTCCTCCGGGTCCAGTTTCGAGCTGAATCCCAGACATGCCCAAAGCCCTGTCCCGATGGTCCAAAACCCCGAAAGACAGAAGTTGTTGTAAGCCCTAATTAAGACCGTACTGTTCTTGTCTTTGAAGCTTGATGGACTCCATTCGGCCACGGAGATTGACGGAGATGTGACCACCCTCAGTACCTAAGAGCTCGAAATGCTTCAACCCTAACCCGATGCTACTTCCGTTGCATCGTCAAGGCATGGGTGGTTGTTCAGGGGTCCTTGCGCGAAGGATCCTACTGTGCACAGTGTAGAGTTCCGTCACTGCTTGAAGCAAATCCTTAGTCTGTAGCCTTCCCAGACCCAATTGCCAGCCTGATGCTAGACCTGTTAGAGCCTCAAAGCCAGGTCCTACATACCAGACCCGACCCTTAATCTCTCACATGGCCGAGGAAGGGCGACAACGCTAAACATGCACCACAAACAGCAGACCTTGTTTCTGGTGCAATTTACTACATGTTTAAAGCGCCCCCCCCCCCCACTCACTCCTCTTTCGCCAAGGAAAGGCTACTACCACGCCCGGCCCAAGACGCAGGAGGCTCCCTCGCCCCAGCGCATCGACAACCCAGAGGAGCTGCCTCAGGCGCGCTTTTGACTTCTTAAGGTTGAGCTTAAAGTGGTAAGGAATAAGGAAATTTTGGGTGTTAATTACCAGGTTGGTTGAGGCGTTGGGAAGTTGGGCAGGGTGTTAAGGGTTTTAGGTGCTGGTAACTACGAGTTGTTTCAGGGGCCTTTTCGGGTAGCAGTGCTCGGTTTCGGGTGGCACGGATCACAGAAACCGTGCTGCTGGAACTACATGACCTTCTTTTGTGCAAAGTACACAGTACTAGGAAATACTTACTGTATGTCTATATGACTGGACGAAGCATGTTTAGGAAGAAGGAAGATGGAGATATTGGCAGTGAGCACTTTGGCGGACGCTTGCAGTCTCATTATGAGAGCTTGAAGGGAAGCCCTTCTACAGACAAGCAACTCCTATTTCATGTCGATAACGGTATTCGTGTCGGCCACATCGCGTTTAAGAAGGTTGTATGACTTTTTGGTACTGAGACGCATTTGCAATGCTGAAAGAGAACCTGCGGTGAGCCCTTGTTAATGATCGTTCTTGTTGTGTTCATGTTGTCATTATGCCTACTTGTGCATGCTTTCCTGTCTCGTTTGGAGTCGCATGGATCTCTTTTGTCCAAGCCTCTTGAGTTCAGCGCAGGCCAGGCCAACCACCTCGATTCGCAAGCGGACGTCGTTCGATACTTTTCAGAAGAAGTGGGACAAGTTCGACAAGGAGGAACCTGAGCTCAAGGTGGTGGAGCCACAGAAACCTGTGGAAGAGCCACCGGCCCGGTCCAGCTTCTCTTGCTGCCGGAGGAAGAGGTAGCAAGTAGTAACGCCTGTGAACCCAAATGGGTTTGCCGGAGGCAACTGTAGAAACTCTGCCCGCCGCGACTCATCGGAAACAGTCGTGGAGAAACGAGGGTACAGTGAGCAGACCAAACCACCCAGAGCAACTTTACCTATGATGCGCAAAACACTGAAACTCGGGGAAATAGGAATCACCAACCTTCTCATCGTTGATTGCTGCACTTTCGTTGACGGTGCCACTGTCACACAGTACGCTGAGTCTCTCCATACTTGTCATTTTCATGGCCTTCGTGATCGCGGCCATGACTAAGAAGTGATTTTGGGTTTCTTGGGCGAAAAGACTCTGTGTTTGCAGCCTGCGTCTCCAGCACTGCTTTAAGGCTTCGGGGTCTTCAAGCATCATACAGGCGACTACGGTTCAGGATTCCCCGGCGCCAGGGGCTCCAACACACCTCGGAGGTCTCACGGATATAGCGTTTTTTGCTAGTTGGGCTGCTTTTTCGCTGAAAATCCTCACGTACCCATGTCTTTGAAATGTGACATACCTTCAAGCTCTGCCATTGAATTCTCTTCAATCCGCACTGTGTGTACAGTCCTATGCAACGCACAACAACCCGTTTTAAACTACTGGCCCCTGAATAATCCTTGCAAGCCTTGATCAGTTTTTCTTCAGATAGCAGCTCAGACGCCTGGCATTAGCCCTAAACCCTAAACCCTAAACCCATTAGCATGGGACCGAGCAGGACCGCCGAGGGCCAGGAGAGCAACGGCAAGGAGAAGTATGGACAGGATTACCTTCGAAGAGGCCGAGCACTGTGCTTTACAGCATTGCAGTTGCAAGTGAGACAGCCATTGGCTAAAAAAGCTGAGTTGCAGACGGCCGTGCTCATTTTGAACTCTTCACTCTTCACCCCAAACAGATCGAACCATCGTCCGGAATTTGCTTGATACTCCACATTGTGCTATTCTTCTGCGCTATCCCATTCGGGCCGACATTTCTGTTTCGAGTAGATAAGTAGCTACACACTGCTTTTCATTCAGGACAGTGAACACATACTTACGTTTTACCCTAAGCCCTCAGCCCCGTTTTTCCCTGCGCTGTGCACTCTACGGCACCCGTTGCGGCGAAGCTGAGAAAATCCTAAACTTGAGGTCCGAGGCAGAAGCAGAAACCGGGAAACTCTGCACACTGAGCTCCCTGCTTCTACGTAAGGATTGGGGGAAGGCTCCCTTGATACCGTCGCTTAAGGTCCTTTGCAGTAAAGGTCCCTATAACCAATTCCCCCATTCCTTTCTTTACCAGGGAGTAAACCCCGTAAAAGTTCGGGGAACCTGCTGTTGTAGAGGCGTCCAGCGAATGACGAACCATCAGAGTTCCGATGGTCGGGGGCCGAAGCTCTCGTGCTCTTTCTCTGCTTCCTGTTTTTGGCCGGGGATGGAAGCGAATTCAGGCGTGTTGGAATGGTGTTTTTTCGTGGCATCATGTAAGGTTTAGGGTTCAGGGCCGAGCATGCTGCTAAGAAGAGAGTGTGTCGAAAACGCTTCCTCTGCCTGAGCCTGGCGGAGTCGTTGCAGGCCAGTTGCAAAAGGGTTCAGGTCCCAAAAGTATGTAAGGCTTCAGGCATACCGTTAATATAATCCGTATGTAGAAAATTAGAAAAGCCTTTCATAGAACCACCATTTTATTGAATTATGGACTGCATCTTTTTAGTGAGGAGTGAGGGATTCGGGAGTCTCCACAGCCAGCTCTTAGATCTCTGCTTCTCGCAGAGCCGAAGCCAAAGCTCAAGGTTCCAGCTAGCATAATAGTACTGCAGGGGTTTGATGACGAAGCGCCCGGTGCGTTTGACAAGTGGTGTGGAGTTTAGGGTATTGGGCAACCTGACCCAAATGAATCCCTGAAAGCTTTGAGCCCTCCACCGTCCAGTCACACTCCGAAGCGAACGGGATGAACTCATCGACCTCATCACGGCCGCAGGGGGCGGAAGCGACGCGACAAGTTTAGGATACGATATACAGAAGAGTCGGTGTATTGCGTTGTTTCTATACGGACTGGGTTGAAGATGGGCTTGGAGGTGGGCCTAACTTGGCTTATGGGGTTTCTAGAGAAGGATATGAGGTTGGATGAGGGGCGTGTCAAAATCGGGCCTTCTCCAGTCTACTAGTCGGGTGTATTCAATGGTCTTCCTTGAAGGATGCTGTACGTTCCCGCAAGGGTTCAGGGGTTAGGGTTTAGGGTTTTGGGGTTTGTTGAGGTGTGTTACAGCGGGTCAGTCTCGGAGTACTTGGGACGAATCCATCAGGCAAGTAATGCGGGGCCAGTCCAAGTAGGCATATTGGCAGAAACCCTTTTCCATCTATTTCGGCAACCCTGAACCCAGACAACCCAGAACCCTTATTAAGTATTTGGGCCCCTCTCCTGGGTGCCGACAAGAACAGCACAGGTACGGCTTCGTCCGTTTAAAGGGCTTTGGAGCGGGGTGAGTATATAAGAAAGTCAAGCCATTGCATAAATTGTTCAGAATGCTTTTAAACAGCGGTAGATGGGCTGGCCCGGGGCCATCGCGACGACGCTTCGTTGTTAGAGAGGTCTAGTCGGGTAGTCGGGTCGTTACTGGTAGAAACTCAACAGCGTAGGATGTGTTCGGGCACGACACAATGGAGTCTCCAAAGCTGAATCCTCTTTCCAGATTGTGGCGAAATCCCGAGGTGCAAGATAGGTAGATAGGCCAAGGAGCTCTCGTTTTGCCGAGCCCCAAAACCCAGAGAACTCCTGGTACGCCCTGCTCCCATCAACTGAGGCTTGATGAGGGGTTGGAGGCGGGCACGGAGTTTCGGTTTCGAAGCTTCGCAAAACTTTCCCAGGGCTTTAAGTTCTGCGCTGGCGGGTGGTCGATGGTTTTGGGGTCTGGAGCTGTGCTTACACAGAAAACGGCACACCCCACATGTCAGTCCAACACAGCGACCTTGTTCATTGTTCATGCATGCGCTGGTGTGTTGCAGTTCGGAGCACAAGAGGTCTGGCAGGATTTTTCGGGTGAGCCTTAACTCTGAACCAAAAGCCAAGAACCTGCAGCTTTCAGAGCTCTACCCTATATTCAGGCGGTCGCAACCTAGTTTTGGGTTTTGGGGGTACACACAAACCCTGCCAGGCGGGTGGCAAAAAACCCGAAGGAATGGAACTTTGAGGCTGCGCCCTCATGTGCGCCTCTTGAACTCCCCAACCCCTGTAAACTCCCTTCTTACCTCACACTTCCTCCCCTTTCTGTATCAATTATGCATTACATGTTATAATATGTATATATATATATATACAACACGTACATATAGTTAATCTTTGTTGTCGGAAGGCAAGCTCTCGATCCCCAAGGCGAACTCGAGGCCAAGCCCGACGGTTTTGGTTTTTTGTCGCAGGGATGGTGGCGGAAGCTAAGAAAAAAAGTGCCTTATGATAATTAGAATAGGGTGTTGGGGGGTTCCTTGTTTTTTTATATAATATAATACACCCTAAACCGAAACTAATATATAGGGGCCTTAGTAATTACATGTAATTACCTACTAGTTTGGTGGGTCCCTTACTGTAATAGTATAATGTACCCTAAAACCCTATTCAAATTATGAAGGCCCCTACATTAGCTAGACTTGAGCCCGGTGGGAAAAAGGGTTTAGAGTTCCGGGATGATTTGACAGGTTGTGAATAATGAAGTGTTGTAATTCAGGGTTTCGGATTCAGGGGTTTCAGAAGGTTTCTGGGTGTATTATCATGTCCTATACCTTCCATGCGGGTGCATGCCGTGTCCGTAAGTTTTCATACGGTTGCACATCGTTGTACAAGCGTGTACAGGACTTCTAGTTGGTGTTCAACATGTTTCCGTTACAAGGTCTCAATTGGGGTTGCCAGAAGGTCGCCACAAGGGTTGAGCAGGGATCCTTCTCATAAGGATCCTGTTGCTCAACATTCACATCCGGATTTCCTGTTTTCGTGACCTCCGCTTCGTCCAGGGTTCAGCGAGAAGGTGTAGGGCATCTTCCGCCACCAACACCGCCGCCGACTCCACCAATTCCACAACCACTGCCACTTCCTTCGACTACAGCGATGACGATAATTGCCCAAGACCTCTGAGAGTTACATCCTTACTGTTGTTTGGGCCTTGTTTGGGCTGAGGGGGGTTGCATTCGATTGTTTGGAGGCTTGAGGTTTCAAGGGGGTGCAGGCCTCCGCCTTAAATGGAGCAAGACGATGCCACAGACCGGGATTCAAGGAGTTGCCCTTTGTGGACCTTTGTGGCAGAGCAAGCATTTAAGGGCTTACAGGTTTGTTGTAGTGGGTTGCAATTCCGGTCTTATGTGTAGCGTTGCTTGTTGATGCGAAGACGCGAGTAAG